CAAAGGGCACCACTATTAGGTCCTACATGACGTACTTCTTGTCTGTCCCTCTGTTTGTGTGTCTGTTGGTTTGTGTGTCTGTATGCCCGTCTGTCTTTCTGTCTGTCTGTCTGTCTATTAGTCTTTCAAAGTTTATCTTCCGTATAAGATCATATTTTGTGACGTGCTTCTCTCTACTCAAACAAAGAAAGAAAGAAAAATAAACAGATAAACAAACAAACAAACAAACAAGCAAACAGAGAAGCAAACGAATAACCCCCACCTAAACTGTGGGTGGTTGGCGGGTGCTCTGGTGTGGTTTGCTTCTTCTTTCCTGTCAAACATCTATCGTCCTTATCTCCCCTTCTTCTTTTTTATATTTGTTTCCCTCTTGTAACACCTATAATCTTCTTTGCTCTCATATGACAATTATGCAGTTGCGAGCACCGTAAAACCTCAACTAAAACTAAAACTTATCACCTAGACTAAGATACAACAAAGACCAAAAACGGAAAAAAGTCACAGACAAACAAAAAACCGCCTTCATTGTAGCAAGGATAACTCTAGGCACCAACGTTTGCCCAAGTGGAATTTCCACATGAAGGTTCTATCTGTTTTAACGCGTCGCTACCTCAGAATTAAAATGGTCTATCTGACATTTTTGGTCGTTTTTGAGTAATCATGAGGTCAGAAATCAAATGTTCTATGATCCCCATCAAAATTGTACGATTATTCGGAGTCGTTATCAAGATATTCCAAGAATTGCATTTTTGAAAAAAGCTTGATATAAACTCTAAATCTTTGACGTCAAATTTCTGAAAACTAGGGACTGAGCAGATAGAACTCTGTAATTCATAGGGAAGCGATGTGTTATTTTTATGCCACACTTGGAAAAATATACACCTACATAATAATAACTTATTATAGTTGAGCGGAAATAAAATTTTAGCCACTAAAAGTGGCAAAAGTGGCCGCTGGTCATTAGAAGGTTGACAAGTATTGATCTAAACTTTTTTTGTGTCGGGAGGAGCGTAAAAATACAGAGACGACACACCAAAGTAAATATCCCACATGTGTATTTGGGCATAGATGTTTATGTGCATAATCCATTATTAAAAGGGCACGACCGTCTGTTTGTGCTCATTAGAATAATTATTCACCCCCCCCCCCCTTTTTTTTTCAATCCGCAAACCATCTTGTTTGATTTCCCTTTCCCCTAACTCCAGACCACTTGACACTTTCTATTTTGATTTCTTACCTTCGTCATTTCCATCCATCGTTTCTGTCTGTATTTCTGTCTTGATTTTCCCCAAGTCTAATTGACCGTAATTGTGACGATGTGCTTCTCCTCACTCTACCAAAACAAACTCAACTGCATGCAAACACTTAGCTTGATTCGATATAAGCGAATTTACAACATATGAAGTGGGTGGTTTTCGAATGCTCTGGTGTGGTACACTCGTTCTTTCCTATCCTATCGCCCATATCTCTCCTCCTCCTTTATTTTGTATACCATGTTTTTCTTTAATCTTCGGTACTTATAATATCATTATGACCTACTGTGTTTCAAATGCTGTAAAACATTTTTAATTACTAGGAGTGAAACTATACAAGATGTGAAATAATACCATTCAGTATCATCATTTCATTTCTTACCCTGTATCAGGATAAAGACTTCGAACAAACACTTTCCACCTTCCCCTATCCTAGGCTAGTCGCTTGATGTCACTCCATGTTTTCCAACTTTTCTGTACATCCATTTCCGTGACTCTTCTCCAGGTTCCATGTGGTCTTCCCCTTGATCTTTTACCCTGTGGGTTCCAATCTAACAAGTTCCTTGTTATGCAGCTGATGATACCATTACAGTCGCATAACACACTTTAGTTTAGACCAGTGGTCCTTAAACTGGGCTCGATCGAAACACAAGGGGTTGTGTGAGCCAAGTCTTCGGGGTATAATGGGTTCGCCAGAGGTCAACACACACACACACACACAC